GCTGCATACAAGCTTTCTCTAGTTGTAGGGAATGGAGGCTACTCTCTAGTTGCTGTGCACAGGCTTCTCATCGTGGTGGCTTCTCTTATTGCAGAACATGGGCTCTGGAGCCCAGGCTCAGTAGTTGTGGGGCATGGGCTCAGTTGCCCAAAGGCACGTTGGATCTTCCCTGACCAGGCATCGAAGCAGTGTCCCTTGCATGGACATGTGGATTCCTGCCCACTGAACCACTCAGGGAAGTCCTTCTCATGTTTTTTCCTCACTCTGTCCTGAATTGTAACCACTTCTCTAACCTCTGCTTTCTCCTGGATTAGAAGTATATGTGTATATGTATGTGTGGGCTTAATCGTGTCTGACTCTGAGACCCATGGACTCTAGCCCACAAGGCTCTGCTCTCCTAGGAATTTTCCAGGAAAGAATACTGCAGTGGCTTCCCATTTCCTTCTTCAGGGGATCTTCCCCACCCAGGAACGGAACCTGTGTCTGTTGCCTCTCTTGCTTTGGCAGAAGGATTCTTTTTTTTTTTTTTTTCCTTTATTTTTATTAGTTGGAGGCTAATTACTTTACAATATTGTAGTGGTTTTTGCCATACACTGACATGAATCAGCCATGGATTTACATGTGTTCCCCATCCTGAACCCCCCTCCCACCTCCCTCCCCACCCCATCCCTCTGGGAAGATGGTAATGATAACCCTATATGCAAGACAGAAAAAGAAGGATTCTTTACCACTAGCGCCACCTGTCTTTCAAAAGCCTGAACGAAAGTGTGGGGCTTTATAAATTGGACCACCTGAATCATTTCCTCTACAAGTTCACTGACACCATCCACTCATGCCTGCTGCCTGTCCTTTCCCACTCCTTTCAAACAGGTGGAGCTTAGCCTCTGCATCTTTTGACACATCCCCCTTGTCACGTGTTTCAATTTAAATATCAGCTTTCTTCCTGGTGAATCTGAATGGCAAAAATGTGTCCGGGCAGCTTTTGTTGTTGTTCAGTCGCCCAGTCCTGTGTGACTCTTTGCGACCCCATGGATTTCAGCACAACAGGCCTCCCTGTCCCTCACCATCTCCTGGAGTTTGCCCAAGTTCATGTTCATTGGATCCCTGATGCCATCCAGCCATCTCACCCCCTGATGCCCTCTTCTCCTTCTGCCCTCAAGCTTTCCCAATATCAGAGACTTTTTTTTTTCATTTATTTTTATTACTTGGAGGCTAATTACTTTACATCATTGCAGTGGTTTTTGTCATACATTGAAATGAATTAGCCATGGATTTACATGTATTGCCCATCCCGGTCCCCCCTCCCACCTCCCTCTCCACCCGATCCCTCTGGGTCTTCCCAGTGCACCAGGCCCGAGCACTTGTGTCATGCACCCAACCTGGGCTGGTGATCTGTTTCACCCTAGATAATATACATGTTTCGATGCTGTTTCAGTATCAGAGACTTTTACAGTGAGTCAACTGTTCCCATAAATGACCAAAATAATGGAGCTTCAGGTTCAGCACCCGTCCATCTTAGTGAATATTCATGGTTGATTTCCCTTAATATTGATCGGTTTGATCTTCTTGCTGTCCAAGGGGCTTTCAGGAGTACACTCCAACACCACAGTTCAAAGGCCCAGATTCTTTGGGGCTCTGACTTCTTTATGGTGCAGCTCTCACAACCAAATGTGATCACTGGGAAGACCATAGCCTTGACTCTATGAACCTTTGTCGCAGAGTGATGTCTCTGCTTTTCAAGACCCTGTCTAGTTTTGTCATTGCTTTCTTGCCAAGAAGCGATCGTCTTGTAATTTCATGGCTGCAGTCACCATCCACAGTGATTTTGAAGCCCAAGAAGAGGAAATCTGTCACTACTTCCACCTTTTCCCCTTCTATTTACCATGCAGTAATGGGGCCAGATGCCATAATCTTAGTTTTTTAAATATTTAGTCTTAAGCCAGCTCTTTCACTCTCCTCCTTCACCCTCATCAAGAGGCTCTTTAGTGCCTCTTTGCTTTCTGCCATTAGAGTGGTATCATCCATGTGTCTGAGGCTGTTGATATTTCTCCCACCTGTCTTGATCCTGGCTTGTAACTCATTCAGCCTGGCATTTCTCATGATGTGCTCAGCATATAGATTAAACAAATAGGGTGACAGAAGACAGCCCTGTCATACTCCTTTCTCGATCTTGACCAATCAGTTTTCCCATACAGGGTTCTGTTCCTTTTTGACCCGCACACTGGGTTCTCAAGAGGCAGGTAGGATGGTCTGCTATTCCCATCTCTCTAAGAGCTTTCCACAGTTTGTCATGATCCACACAGTCAAAGGCTTTAGCCTAGTCAAGGAAACACTGTGAGGTGATTTTCTGAAATTCCATTGATTTCTATATAAGCCAGTGCATGTTGTCAATTCGATGTCTTGTTCCTCTTCCTTTTCTAAACCCAGCTTGGACATCTGGAAGTTCTTGGTTCACACAATGCTGAAGCCTAGCATGCAAGATTTTAAGCATGACCTTACTAGCATGGGAGATGAGTACAATTCTCTGATGGTTAGCACATTCTTTGGTACTACCCTTCTTGGCAGTTGGGATGAGGGTTGATCTTTTCCAGTCCTGTGGTCTTCCAGATTTGCTGACATAATGAATGCAAATCCCTGACGGCATCCTCCTTCAGGGATTTGCAAAGTTCTGCTGGAATTTCAGCACATCCACTAGCTTTCTCAAAAGCAGTGATCTTGGGCAGCCGAGCAGTCAATTTGCTGACTTCCTCCAGATGTTTCTCCTCGGCATGACCACCTGTGGGGAATCACGGGCTCCGAGGACTGACCCACTTGCCCAGGCTGCTGCCTCCCACTGTCAGGTTCATTCCCTGTCACACTCTGATATGTGTGACAAGACCCATTTTCTTTCACACAGTCTCTCACATTTGCTTTCTCTTCCTGAGTCAGATTATCTGTCACATGCACTCATTCTATAATATTCCTGCATCACTCTTTAATGCTTTTTTCATCACACATATTCTCTCTCACACCCTATGTCTCTTAGAACGTATCTCTGACACTGCCACACACTCCCTCCATGATGGTTTCTGCATCCAAGTCTCTTCCTGTCACACGCTTCCCTTTTAAATTCCTGTCCCATTCACACATTCCCTCTGTCACACTCACTCAAAAGCATCCACCTGTCACAGCGGTAAACTCTCTGTGAAACTCATTCTATCATACGCTCGCTTTCCTTCATAGTTCTGTCACTGTCTGAGTCACACACATTATTCGTCATTGTCATTATCCTTTGTAGATCTCACTATTCAGACCCAACTTAAGTCCGGTGCCTGATGGGGCACTACGGTCATCACAGTTTTAAGAAATGCAGAATGCAAAATGTGCAAGACTTTGAGCTGCTGGTGTTGGTGAATGAGTGGGTGTGTGTGATTTGTTTGGACGAGACCCACATCATGGGAGACAGGACACCGACATGGCCATATGGCCTTAAAACTGACATGATGGAAAACCACAATGAGGTACCATTACACGCCAGTCAGGATGGCTGCTATCCAAAACTCTACAAGCAATAAATGCTGGAGAGGGTGTGGAGAAAAGGGAACCCTCTTACACTGTTGGTGGGAATGCAAACTAGTACAGCCGCTGTGGAGAACAGTGTGGAGATTCCTTAAAAAACTGGAAATAGAACTGCCATATGACCCAGCAATCCCACTTCTGGGCATACACACCGAGGAAACCAGATCTGAAAGAGACACGTGCACCCCAATGTTCGTCGCAGCACTGTTTATAATAGCCAGGACATGGAAGCAACCTAGATGCCCATCAGCAGATGAATGGATGAGGAAGCTGTGGTACATATACACCATGGAATATTAACTCAGCCATTAAAAAGAATTCATTTGAATCCGTTCTAATGAGATGGATGAAACTGGAGCCCATTATACAGAGTGAAGTAAGCCAGAAAGATAAAGACCAGTACAGCATACTAACACATATATATGGAATTTAGAAAGATGGTAATGATAACCCTATATGCAAAACAGAAAAAGAGACACAGATATACAAAACAGACTTTTGGACTCTGTGGGAGAAGGCGAGGGTGGGATGTTTCGAGAGAACAGCATCGAAACATGTATATTATCTAGGGCGAAACACATCACCAGCCCAGGTTGGATGCATGAGACAAGTGCTCCGGCCTGGTGCACTGGGAAGACCCAGAGGGATCAGGTAGAGAGGGAGGTGTGAGGGGTGATCGGGATGGGGAATACATGTAAATCCACGGCTGATTCAGGTCAATGTATGACAAAAACCACTACAATATTGTAAAGTAATTAGCCTCCAACTAATAAAAATAAATGGAAAAAAAAACTGACATGATGGACGAATACGTGGAAAGAAGCTGAAGCAGCCCATGGACCATAGGAACTGCTAGCTATCACAGTGGTCAAAGAGCACAGGTCTAGATGTGAAGTGGGCAGAGGGGGAATGCTGCTGGGTTGTGTGGCTTGGCCCCTTGCCCTCGACTCCCAACTTAATCTAGTAAGACCCTTCTGTGGCATATGTTGGAGAAATCAACGATGCTTTGTGGAACTAGCTTTATGCCTTGAGACTGGAAAGTCGTCATTTGTATCTCGGTGGCATCTGTGGACACTTGGCGGGGTCCATTCCACACCGTCTAGGCCAGCACAGGAGGGGCCCATGTGCGCAGGTGCATCAGGGGCACCTGAAAGCAGCGTGGCTTTGTGAGGGACCTGAGTCCCACAGGGTCGCCACAGCGGCCAGTGGGTGGGAGTAGGCTAGGTGGGAACCAATCCGGTGAGAGGAGGCGCCTTCAGGGCTGTCTGCACAGGCGCACTTTTGGAGTCCTTGAGCAGAAGGGGCGGGACTTCCTGAGGGGATCAGTCTGTCCGCCCCTTTGTGTTGGTGTACGAGAGAGACGTGGGGCAGCCATGCGACGCTCGGGTGTTGGGGGCCAATATGACCAGCAGGGCTCCAGAATGCGTCCTTGCCAGAGGGGTTCAGGCAGGGCTGAAGGTGAGGGTCATCACCGGGCCCCAGAAGGCCAGGGTGGCCCTGACAGACGAAGAGCCATGATGGAAGCTGCTAGAGCTCGTCCCCGAGGTGAACGGGCCCCACGTGCCCCAGGACCTGGTGGAGACGTAGCACCAGTGGCTGTAAGGCGTAGACGTGGAGTGCTGGTGTTGTATCCTTTTCATGGAGCCTCCATGGGCAGGGTTAGTGGTATGGTGGTGGGAAACATGCCGGGAGCCTGAGGAAGGGATAGAAGGGAGCACGGCGACGATCCAACACAGCAAGAGTAGGCAGCCTGGCAGGAAATGGGGTTGTCAAGGCCTGAGGAGCCTGGAGGGCGGGGAAGACGGACCGAAGGGTTAGGGAGGCAGCTCAGGGTGGTCTCAGGTTATGGTCGGGAGCATGGGCGTTCTGGGATAAAAACAGGCCTCTGCGGTGTGAGGAAGCCTGAGATACCAGCAAATTCAGTAATGGACGGTGCCTTAACCGTGTCTCTCCCAGCAAAGTCAGAGTGCCTTTCCAGTCCCCGCTGGAGGCATGCTTGGCTCGCAGGTCTCTGCTCCGAGATGTCCAGCGCCACCAAGGAATTACTCAGAAGGAATTTGTAGTGAATGGCAGTGACCTGATTGTGTCAGTTCCAGACGAGTTTGCCTTGTGGAGTGGGGGGAGGGCAGCGGGTGCTATTTTCTGAGCTCTCTCTTAAGAGTGCTATGATGGAGACACTGAGGGGATTGGTATAAGGAGGTGGGCTGGTACCCTGGACCTGTAGGAACATCTCCCCTTAACCTTATTTTCCCCACTTTTAGTAGATGGACTGCTGAAGACGTTGCTTTCATCCGAATTCCCATCAACCTGTTCCTCGATCAGCTTTTCCAGGTGATTCAGAACATTCGGAGCCTTGGGATCCCACCTTTCCTAGGCTGAGGAAAGAGGGTGAAGCCTAACCTTGTGTCCCCTACTCGGCAATGCATAGGGCATTCAAACTTAAGAGTCATCACCACTTTGTTATTTGAGTGTGAGTTTTTGCCTTTACTGGCCTTTGGTATCTCTTGGTTCACTTTGTTTCCCTGCTACTTGAGGCATGGGATGCTTCAGTGTTTATTACAGCAGAAAATAAAACTAAGTCACTTTTTGTGCCTCAGTTTCTTTTCAGCTAATGTGCTTCTGGATTTAAAAAGAAAATCTTTTTATCTTTGTTCTCGTGTTAGAGGGAAGGTTCTGAAATTCAGATATTCCAGTAGGACAAGGTAATTGAAAACAGTTTAGGAAAATTAAAATCGAGCCCTATGTTCACTAAATACTGTCAACATTAAGAATATTTTCTAGTTGTACCTGCACATAAAATTTATAACAGCATGTAATGTTCAGTTTAGTCGTTCAGTTGTGTCTGACTCTTGGAACCCCATGGACTGCAGCACACTAGGCCTCCCTGTCCATCACCACCTCCCTGAGCCTGCTCAAACTCATGTCTATTGAGTCAGTGATGCCATCCAACCATCTGATCTTCTCTCGTTCCTTCTTGTCGTCTGTCAAATTTAGCATTAGTAATTAGCCTCCAACTAATAAAAATAAATGAAAAAATAATAAAAAATAAAAAACAAGGAAAAATAAATAAATAAATAAATATTTTCCTGATTTTTTTCACTTAATATACTAGCTTTTCTGCTTTCTAAAAGCTCTTCCAAAATGTTTATTGAATAGATATAAGATGCATCATAATTAACTATTGGGGACTTCACAAGCAGTCCAGTGGTTAAGACTTTGCACTTCCAGTGCAAGGGCTGTAGGTTCAATTCCTGGTAGTGGAACTAAGATCCCACATACCATGTGGCATGGTGAAAAAATTAAAATTGACTCTTTAAAGCTGGGGCAGCTGTACAACTCGTCTATTCCATATCTCAGCTCCCAGAGATCACTGCTGATCCTCCCTAGCCTGATGCCCAGTTTTTTTTCACAGCCTGAGCTTCATGTATTTTGGTCACTTTTAAGGGGATCTTTGAAGCCAGTGGCAGGGCAGAGCCTTTCCTGTTCCTCCATGTGCGTGAACAGAGTCTGCTGTGACAGAACCCGGACAGCTCTGCTCCGCTGGGCTGGAGGGAGGCAGGTGCTGCTGCCGGGATGGTGGCAATGATCCTGGGGGTGACGGTGATGGAGTCTCTCACCCGCCAGCACCCAGCAGCTCTGGTGGCTACAATGATCCTTCCTTTCAAAATGTAAGCCAGATATGTCTCCCCTGTTCAGTTCCCTTCACTGGCTTTATTATCACTGAGAATATGAGCCAGAGGTCCTTATAATGCCCAGAAAGGCCCCACATTCTCATCTGTGAAACCACATTCCCTCCTTACCTCCTCTGCTGTGCACACTCTTGCTCATTCCATGCCAACCACACTGGCCTCTAGGCTGCACCCTCAACATTCCAGGTTTTCGGAGGACTTAGTGCTTTTGCATAGTCTGTTCTCCCTGCCTTGATTACACTCTCAAATATAGCTCCTGGTCACCCATCATTTCCGAGTCTGCCCAGGTCTCATCTTCTCACCCGACTTCCCCCTGCAGCCACCCTCCCCACAGCCCGGTGGGCAGTCAATCCTCTTCACGCTGTTCTTTGCTTTCCCACACCACTCATCACCTTCTATAATACAGTATAATTTACAAATGTGTTTTACTTCCTGCCTCTTCCCAATAGAGATAATCACTATTCTGACTTCTATCACCATAGAGTATGAAAATGAATTAAAAGTCTTATTGAAGACCAAAGAAATGGAAATATTTAAAATTTCAAGACAGATATAAAACAATTAGGTTGTGCTCCTTTGTGTGAAAGTAAACAGAGGCTAAAACTCATTCAAATAAGAGGTTTTGACCATGAGAACACAGTGCTGGACAGAAGCCAAACGAAGGGACACGTCCCATGGATTGCCCTGCCTTCCCCACGGAGGTCTCTCAGGAAGTGATGTCCGTGTGTGGTGCCAAAGTGGGGTCGGATTCATGATCAGCCTCGTGGAGTTCCAATGACAGGCAGCCTTGATTGGAAAGGCCACCCTGTCCATTAGGCTCTCCAGTGCCCCATCTGCTATCAGTGAGGTGCCCATGTGGGAGGGGTCTCTGTCTCAGCTCTGCTCTCTCCCATCGGGCCCCATGTCCCGGCCTGCACAGTGCCACTCTGTCTCAGAAAATAAAAACTAAATTTATAAAAGCAAATGGCACAATTAAAGAAATAACAATAAATGCAATTTAAGATCAAAGAAACTAAAGTAGAAAGCTGGAAAGTTAGGGAGGTGCCTGGTGGAGTAAAGGGGCCTGTGTTCAAGGGGCCTGGGGTTCAGAGACCTTCAGGTTAGGTTTCCCGGCCCTAGCTTCTCAGGTGAGCCTTGTGGGCCAACATACCCTTCTTTAGATCGGGGGCTTGGTCTGGAGTGTCGGGAAAAACCATTCGTGGTAATCAGCCTGGTCCTTCACCGGGGTGAGGAAGTTCACGTGGCTTCTCCTCCTTTCTCTCAGCACCAGGATTCCCCTTGGCTGTAGGGTCTGTGCCTTTGGCCTGGTTCCCCCAAACCCGATCCCTGGCTACTCTGGTTGTCTCTGCCTTACATCATGGCCTAGAGATGCTGCTGACCTGACAGCCAGGGCAGCTGGGAGCATCAGCCATGGGGAAAAGAGAAGTAAGGGCACAACAGACCCCTGCTGTTGCCTTTTAATGTCAGTATTGAAGGTCACACCTTATCGGCAGTATCTGGCAGGGCCGTTGATTTTACTGTCAACTACTGAAGCTAGTTTCTGACCCAGAAAAAAGACGTGATTTGGCTGGCCAGAAGCAGTGCTTGTTACAGCCATCTGCTGAATGGCTTGCAGCGAAGTAACATGGATGTGGGGTATTCTATGTGAGTCAGGTTAGGCCTGTTGTACTTGAAAACAGCAGGGAAGTCTATTTTCAACACTCAGCCTTCAAAACGTGTTCTGAGATTTTATCAGAGGTCATTACTTAAATAAGAGGACACTTAGGTCATGAGTCTCCCTTATAACTTTTATTAATGCCAGAATTAAATAGTAAAAACACAGTGAATTTTTCAAAATGGCATGATTTTGTCATATCCACAGTCTCAGGGGGTTGGGACTTCAACATCTTTTCCTGGGGAACACAATCCAACCCACAGCCACCCTCCACCACCTCCCACTTCACTCTGAGCACAAGCCCTCAGCATGTCTCCTGAGGCCCTGGTGCTGACATCCAGTTCCTGTCAGCTCTCAGGCCCTGTCCTGCTGCTCTCCTCTTCACCCACTCTGCTCCAGCCACACTGGTCTCCTCACGCTCCCAAACCTCCTTCAAGTCTTCACTCCACTTCTGCTTCACAACCCAACCACCTGGTTGAAAATGGAAAACCACTCCTCCAAGCTCTCCCTCTCTTTTTCTCTTGCTGTACTTCCAGTCAGAGTTCTCAAAACCTTCCCACAGGCTACCTAGTGTAGTTGTTTTTTCATTTCTTGACAGTCTTTCCCAGCTGTACTGGAACCTCCATGGAGTCCTGGAACGGTGTCCAGCAAAAAATGTTCCTTCAGTTACCGAATAAATAAAGCTACTATAGAAACTGTAATAAAATATCCGTGTGAGCTAGGAGTGGGGAAGTACTTCCTAAACATTGTTTTAAATCTATAACAGGTTAATATCAAGAATATAGCAATATTTTTAATATCCTGCTGATCATCAAGAAGATAACTACATTTCTGATCTGTGGAAATAAGCAAAGGATACAAACAGGCTAGTTATAGAAGACAAAAACCCTAAAGGTCGCAGGACACAATAGGAGTGGATATGGGTGCAGCCATAGCAGGGAACAGCCTGTCACAACTGCATCCAGTGATGCCTTCACATCCCTGAACTGCAGCATTTCTGCTTCTGGGAAACTGTGACCAGTCCCCTCAGTGGGGGTGTATGAGGGTGTCCTCATAGTGTCATCTGTGGAGGCGGGAGTCAGAGCCACCTAGAGGTCCCACTGACTCTCCTTCTGCCCTAATGTCAGACCCTCAGGTGGGTCTGGTTAATTCATGAGTTTCCACTTCTCTATGGATGGCAGCAGAAGTCAACGCGCTAGACCCTTGCTTGGTATGTTCTTTGGGCTTTCCTCCCACATGTCTGACCAGAGTGTCCACAGTTACTCTATGTACCCATGTGAATCTGGTTCTGCCCTGCCATGGTTTTTCTCCAGGGATGATGGCAAAAACCTATTAATACCTTCTAAACCTACAACTTTGACTGTGTGCATCACAATAAACTGTGAAAAATTCTGAAAGACATGGGAATACCAGACCACCTGACTTGCCTCTTGAGAAATCTGTATGCAGGTCAGGAAGCAACAGTCAGAACTGGACGTGGAACAACAGACTGGATCCAAATAGGAAAAGGAGTACATCAAGGCTGTATATTGTCACCCTGCTTATTTAACTTATATGAAGAGTACATCATGAGAAACGCTGGGCTTGAGGAAGCACAAGCTGGAATCAAGATTGCCGGAAGAAATACCAATAACCTCAGATATGCAGCTGACACCACCCTTATGGCAGAAACTGAAGAACTAAAGAGCCTCTTGATCAAAGTGAAAGAGGAGAGTGAAAAAGCTGGCTTAAAGCTCAATATTCAGAAAACTAAGATCTTGGCATCCAGTCCAATCACTTCATGGCAAATAGATGGGGAAACAGTGGAAACAGTGTCTGACTTTATGTTTCTGGGCTCCAAAATCACTGCAGATGGTGACTGCAGCCGTGAAATTAAAAGGTGCTTACTCCTTGGAAGGAAAGTTATGACCAACCTAGACAGCATATTAAAAAGCAGAGACATCACCTTGCCAACAAAGGTCTGTTTAGTCAAGGCTATGGTTTTTCCAGTGGTCATGTATGGAAGTGAGAGCTGGACTATAAAGAAAGCTGAGCCCCGAAGAATTGATGCTTTTGAACTGTGGTGCTGGAGAAGACTCTTGAGAGTCCCTTGGACTGCGAGGAGATCCAACCAGTCCATCCTAAAGGAGATCAGTCCTGGGTGTTCACTGGAAGGACTGATGTTGAAGCTGAAACCAATACTTTGGCCACCTGATGCGAAGAGCTGACTCACTGGAAAAGACCCTGATGTTGGGAAAGATTGAGGGCAGGAGAAGGGGACAACAGAGGATGAAATGGTTGGATGGCATCACTGACTTGATGGACATAGGTTTGTTTGGATTCTGGGAGTTGGTGATGGACAGCGAAGCCTGGCATGCTGCGGTTCATGGGGTCGCAAAGAGTCGGACACGACTGAGCGACTGAACTGAACTGAACAGGCTATATGAGGCACAGGAAAACCTGTGTGGTGCCAAAAGCACAGGACAGATACACTGAGAGAGCAGGCCAAGGGCAGAGAGGAGGGAGAGCAAGGAGGAAGGCAGGAGGACATGAGGACAAAAGACAAGGCTGGGCCCGTGGCCTCTAACACACCTCAGCTCACCCTCTATCCCCACCCCCATCCCCCGTGGACATGCTCACAGCAACAGGTGGCCAAGGGTACAGGCCCCCAGGCTGTGAAGGCTGGAACCCCTGGGGACAAGCCGCCAAGCCCCCCCAAACCCAGGCATCTCACCTGAAGAGCTGTAAGGAGCTGAAGATCTCCTGAGACTGGGAGACATGCAGCCCACCCCTCAGTCCCAGCTGGGCTTGAGCTTGCAGAGATGTGAGAAGGGAAATTGGGATCTGCTGGGCAGCGGCAGCCTGCAGTTGGGGAGGTGGGTGGGTCACCATGCTGCCCTGCAAGCTGTTTCTCACACCCCATCACCAGTACCCCTTCACCTCCACCCCAGTCTTTCTTCCTGGGACATCCAACACCACCCATAGAGCAAACTCAACACAGCCTGCCTGCACTTCCTTCCTTCTCAGGAGAGAGCAGAGAACTGGCAGAAAGCAACCCCAAACCAGCACTACAAGCATCCCTACACTGGACCCTGCACAGCTGGATGAACGAGCCTGAGCTCCACCCCCAACAGAGGCGGGTCCAGAAATGGAACAGTGGGTGGATAATGCCACAGACAGAAGAAGACATGTGGTATGGCCCAGTTATGAGACCTTGCAGAGCCAAAAGACATAATGTTTAAGAATATGCTCTGAAAAGATCAGGATGGGCCATATCCTCTGCCCCTGGGGCAGTGCTTCACCCTGGGCTCTGCAGGTACAGGGGTTGGCGGGCACAGGAGCCCCGTGGAAGGTCAAGCACCAGCTTCAGGAGGGAGACTCCCTCCACACGCGGCCCCTGGCAGCACAGAATTGTGCCCACTGTGCATGAACACAGACACCTGCTCACTTACACAACTACCGCTTTCTAACGCATCCATGCCTGGGAGTCTAGGCCTTTCTTGTCTTCATCAGAAGGATACCTGATCACCAAAGAGAATTCCGTTTCAGTGAATCCCCTGGCTAGGGTGCAGGAGGGAGAGCATCAGGAAAGGAAAGCTAAGCGGTCCAGAGCACTCAGCTCCATCTCTCCTCCTCGGCTCTCACGTGTTCACTCGGGAAATGCTGACTGGCTGCCATAACGTGCCAGGTACACGGCAGTAATGTGAGGGGTTCAAAACATGAGACAGGCCATGAACGGGTACATGAAGCAGCCAATCACGCCCTGTGCTGCACCCTCCCCTCTATCCCTGGGTCAGCTGTCTCGCTGGCATCACCTGTTGGTACCTCTGCTGCTGAGGTATGGTCTGAGGAACCAGCCAGGGCTGACTCGCAAACACATGGCCATCCAGGTAGAGAGGTGGCAGGTGGCTGCCTGGAAACACAATTCGAGGCAGGGGAACAGGATCAAGCCTCACTGTCCCAGAAGGTCCCCCAAAGTGGTGGGGGAGGCAACGTGGCAGAGTTGGCCCTGGGCTCCTGTGCAGCCCAGGGCCCGGGGAGAGGGGCCGCTGCAGCCAGCCTTCCCCTCTCACCCACCACCCCGCACACCCAGGAAGGGCTCGGTCATAAAGGAGGCTGCCAAGGTCTCTCAGTCACGGTCCCCTTCATCTCCCTGCTATTGAGTCCACAGTGGAGAGTCAGAAGGATCTGTTGCAATCGGATCACTGAGACGCTGGCAGCTGGGCCCCTTGAATCCCCACGGGCTCCTCTGGGCACTGACACCGTGATGAGGACAGTGACCATTGGGGTGAAACTGGCTCCTGCTTATTGAGGCTCAGTTGATACAAAACCCTCCCTGGATGTGAGCTCATCTCATGGGCATGATGAACCCGCACTGGGCCATCACGACTCTGCTATTTCACAGAGGAAGGGGCAACGTTCAGACAGCTGCTCATGCGACGGAATCTCTGATGGGACCTCTCTGCAGGAGGTGAGAGAGCCCTGCAGAGGTCACAGAGTCCTGTCGCCTCCCAGGGTCGGAAGCTGAGAGCAGCAAGTGCCAGAGACCAGAGCACACAGGAACCCATGGCCCCCAGGCAGGAACATGCTCCTTAGGTCAAGGCAGGGGCCTCAGGGCTACAAACTCATGTTTCCCTCGAGGGAATGGAGAAGGATCCGTGAGCTGGACCAGGGGAGAGGTACCTGGAAGGGCTGCAGAAAGTGTGACTGAGGCCACGGGCACAGGGGGCTTGGAGACTCCACTGAAGGAGCTATAGCTGACCCCGCTGGAGGCCCCCCTGGAGGATGGGGGCTGCGGGCCTGAGCTGGCGCCTCCTGGCGAGCTCTGCTCTGGCAAGCTGGGCGAGTTTTCCCAAGCCTTGTGCACAGACTCCATCTTTGGATGCAAGGAGGTGGCGGGAGATTGAAGTTACGGGCCAGAAGGCAGTGGTGGCACAAAGCTAAGTCCAGGGGTGGAAGGAGGGGGTGTGCTGGGGTGGGGTCTGCTTGCTCTTGCCCACTCACAAGCCAGGCCCCAAGTTACCTTCAGAGTGAAGTCAGCGGTGGGGAAGGACATGTGGGAGAGGCTGATGGCTCTCTGGATGTGGTGGTCACGCTGCAGGATGGGGATGCTGGAGGTGAGCCCGGCCTGGAGGGTAGGACACAGTGGGACACCTGCAAAGGGGGGAACCACACCCTCTCCTGCCCAGACCTAGCCTTCCAGCAGGGCCGCCGTGTTTCAGCAACAGAAGCACAGCTGGCGGCCAGCACGCAGGCCCCACTGCATGGCATGGAGGTCCCAGTTCCTGTCTCAGCCCCTCACCCCAGACTGTGAAAAAGAGGCCCTGGAAATATGCTCAGAAACACAGCGCTAGACCTCCTTCCTGCAGTGTCCAGCGCCCACCTGCATGTCATGGGGTTTCTGAATAATCGTAGAGTAAGGAAACTTGTTTACTTAAATTAGCACAGCATTCTCAAACGTGTGTGACTGTGGAACCCGGGAAGTTTTGAATCACAAAGTGCCAGATACAACAGACCTTAGGAGTTACACCACTCCATTTTCAGCTCACAAAACCAGGGCGTGGAACAACTTGCCACGGGCGTTCAGCTAGCTAGAGACGGCACCAAGACACAAACCGACCCTCCCAACCCGAGAGCCACACTGACGAGGCTGTCTTCCCCGGGGCCTGCCGGCACAGGGACCACAGAGCTGGGCAGTAGAAGCATGGCCAACGCGTCCTGAGGTTTGACAACTGGAATCCCTGCGGGACCAGAGGCAGAGCCGGGCTGCAAGCTGAAATCAGAGTCCTGTAAAAAAAAACGGAACAAGGCCCACAGAAATTGCCCTGGCTCGCCTTCTGGCAGAGACACACGTGAAGTAGACCCATAGCCTCAGCAACTCAAAAAACGCAGCATGGGACTTCCCCGGTGGTCCAGGGGCTAAGACTCTGGGATCCCGATGCAGGGGGCCCGGTTTGATCCCTGCTCAGGGAATTAGATCCCATATGCCGCAACGAAGATCAAAGACTCCATGTGACGCAACTGAGACCCAGCACAGCCACATAAATAAAGACTTAAAAGTAAATAAGTAAGCAGTATTCACCACGTGAACAAAACGGCCAGCTGTTCCCCAACAGCCCCCAAACAAGGTGGCCATCCCCTTCCCTGCCTGGCTTCCTGCTTGGTCTGAGAACTTGCCTGGCATTGGCAGGGAGACGGGACCAGCCCATAGCAGCTCTTCAACCAGGATGCCACCCCACAACATCCCTTGGAGTGTTGCCAGCACCTACCAGCCCGCTCCTCCAGGAAAGGCCCCTCCTTCCTCTCCAAGCACCAAAAACAGGGGTTGGGGAGGTGCGGAGAAGAAACACTTCAAGCCTCACCTTCGGGTTGGCTCCAAATTCAATGGGTGTCACTGGCAGCACAGAGTCCCCGTGAATCTCCACCCCATGAATGGGGAACCAGAGCACGTGGCAGCCGTTCGGCCCCCTCGGAGCCCTTTCTGTTTTGCAGAGAGCGCTCACTTCCGATGGGTCCCAGTCTGTGCTCCGTGCTCTGTCCTGAGCCTTGTTCTGAATCCTTGATGGAAAAGCAAAGAGGCTGAGACACACAGCCTGGAGTGACCCTGACCTCTAGCTCCCAAGGAACTGGGAGCCAGAACAGAAGAAAAAGGACACCAGCCATTCTGGCCAGCCTGGCCCCTGAGAGCCAGGCTCCAGATAAACTTCGGCTCTGACTGCTTTTGAGTTTGCTCCTTGTGGCTGCTGGCCTTTGGCACCAGGCCAGGCCCACTTGCATCCTCGGGCTTCAGGGTGCCACATGGGAAGCTGCGCTGCGAAGAGGTCGCTAAGGACTCTAGGACTTTGCGCTCAGGTCAACACTGCTGTCTCCCCGGCTGCTCTTAAAGCCCTGCTGTGCAGGACACACGGCCAGTCAGCACCTGAGTCCTGCAGAGCGAGACGTGGGGCTTGACATGTCTCCTGGCCCGAGCCCGTGATCCCAGGTACACATGGACCCCTGCACTGTGAGCATGGCCAGACACCAAGGGCCCAGGGTGGGTGCTCCCTGGCCATCCCCTCTTTCTCCCTCCCACACAGGCACCTCCTGCAGAGCTGAAAGCAAGACTGGAGACCAGCGATGAGCCAGGCTCACTGCCTGGCCAGGGAGAGCATGGGCGGGCCACTGGGCCGGCCCTTGATGGTGAGCACATGCTTGGTGCCTGGGGGCCACTCACCTCAGCAGAGCCAGGCTCAGTGCTGGTGAAGGCAGTGGCAACTTTGGTCCAGGAGTCACTAGCAGAGGCCTGAAGGGGGAGGGCTGCTAGGAGAAAGACAGAGTCAGGACATCAAAGAGGAACAACCAAGCCAGAAACACGGCCACGGGCAGCTCACACAAACTCAAGTCTCCAAACCACCTCCCTCCTCAGTCTGACACCTTCATTCGACTCCCCAGCATCCCCAGAAACATTTCCTTAAACGAGCTTCCCGTGATTTCATGGACAAGGAGCTCCAGGTAAACATGCCAGCAACTTCTCACTCACGGGGATTAGAATTCTGTATCACTACCTCTGCTGTGGTAAAGCTTTTCTCCCATAAGCCAACTATTTATTTCTACAAATTGGCACCTCCCTACAAGTCTTTGAACGAGTCAAGCTGATGATTACTCAACTGTTGTTAGCTCAACCATTCTTGAGAATCCAACAAAAGTCACAGACCCTGTGTGTGTGTGTGTGTGTGTGCAGAAAACCTCCTGAGCTCTTTTCCAAGATCCAGGGCCCTTCTGAAGCCATCCACACACCCCTGGTCTGAGCAACCACGAGACACTGCACAATCCAGGAGGGAAATCCTTGATAGCCAAGGGCAACTCCCTAGTTGGTCCATTCTGCTGGACCACGCTGGCAGGTACGTATTTTTGGACATTTACACTGTGACACCCACCACTCTCACAAAACCAAACTGACTGCACCCAAGATATACTGAAAGACTACTGTACTTTCAATCAGAGCTGACTATTTCCCAATATTACGTTGAAACGCTTAGAATCAAGGTTTTAATCAGAAACATGAAGACAGGCCATGTGGTAAAACTAAGAGAACCAGGCTCAGAACCCAGGGTGTCTGTCATGTGGCTCCAGGGTTGTCACTCACTCTGGAAGTCTCAGCTGCTTTGAATAAAAGACCTAGCAATGGATGATTTCACCAAGTTCCCGCAGGGCCTTGCCCAAAGCAGGAACTCAAGAAGAATCTGCTCAATTAAAATGGTTTCGTATTTTAAAATGAAAGATTACCAGGAAAATACCACTGGATAAGAAATTCTTTTAGCTTCAGGGAAACAGAGATTTTCTACAAATTAAGGGCCACCCTAATCTGGTTTCAAGTCTAAGACGACATCTGGGGAGGGGGGGGGGGCGACAGAACCTTCCTTCTGGCAAGGAAAGGGCACACAGCACAGACAGGAAAGCTCTCAACTCCTGTTCTCCCAAATATTCGTCTGCTGCTCGCTCTCAAGGTAAGAAGAAAGGACTGCTGATGTGGGTGAGAGTCAAGTCAACTCCTGAGCGACCTCAGCCAGGAGGGGTGGGGACCACTCTTTCCCGTCAGCCAGGAGGGGTGGGGACCACTCTTTCCCGTCACTGGATGCAGAATGCTCTGCTCGCCACCACACTTCAGGCAGGGAACCGTACATCTGTTTAGAGGCTGCAGCGGCACGTGGTGCTCAGACGGCATTAACCCCAGACTCGGCAGAGGAAGCCGGGAAACAGGCAATGCTGTGTCTATGCTCACGGCCCCAAGGCAGAATCCTACCCTGAGAAGGACTGCAAGCCTGGGAGGCGGCCCGAGCCTTGGGATCCGACCACAAGCTCCTACCCTGACTGCTGCTCTCACAGATCCCGGTGCCCAGGCTGCTGCCGGGCACAGGACCGTCGCCCTGCTCCAGACACAGGTTGTTCTACTTCTTCGCAAACCGAGAGGAATTCAAGAGGAAAGACTTCAGCCTTTGACAGGAGCCTACGGAGAAGAGGGTGACGGGGTCCAGCCCCGATGGCAGACGGGAAAAATTAGCTCCCCCCAGAAAGACGCCTCTGGGCTCCAAAACCACACCCAGAAACTGCTCCAGAGAATTCACGAACCATCAGTTAAAACCTTGACCACGCGGGAACTGCAATGCCAACCAAACCACCCGTGGAAGTGCCCAGTGGGCTGTGATCTGAGACTACAATAGGAGGAGGCTGGACTTCAGGAGCTAACAGAGGTCTATGTCCTGCTCACTTCATTTCAGCTGGTGTCAACAAGGACCAGTCACCCTTTGAGAGCATGGAAATCACACCATCTACCCCGCGGAGCACAGGGACAGTGGGCCCTGGGAGGCAGTGCCTGCTTACAAGCATGTCATTCTTCCTCTCCCGGCCCGGGCCAAATTCTCAACACTCCGACTCCGCAGGTTGCTGCGCTCTGCGTCCCAGCCCCCTCGCATCACGCCCCATACCTGCACTGCTTGCTCCTTCTTTCTCCTCTCCTCCTCCAGCAGGCAGCACTGCTTCTTGGTCAGGACCTCAGTGAAGCCTTCGCCCACCAGAGCCCACCTCACTCTCCTCCCCAGGGCTGGATCCACAATTTTCAATGTTGGTGTCTGAACCAAGACTCACAAGGAAGGGCAATGGTTCCATTTACTGCAAGCTAAGAATAACCTAACCCTACAGACAACCTGAAATCTAAGCACTGAGTCAACTCAAAAGGCCAGGCCCTTAGCTGGCTTGGGCCTCAGCCTATTCACTATCACCAGGGTCTAGGAAACCCAGAGAGGATTTCAACAGTCTTCTCACAACCCTGTCATGCACTGTTATCTCAAAGCAAACAGGAAACAGTGAAGAAAACAGGCCTCAGCGACAGACACACCTGAGGCCCAGCTCCACTCCTGACCAGCTGTGTAACCCTGGACATATCACTCAACCTCTCTGGGCCTCAACTTCCCATCTTTAAAACTGGGACACTGCAGGGCTGTTACGGGGATGCATCCTGCCAGACCGCCTGGACTCCCTGAAGTCGCCCTTCCTTCCCGTGGCCTCCTCCTACTCTGGGAGCTCACCCTCATCCCCAGGCTCGGCGCCTTGCTGCTGTTGCTGTTTGGAAGCTCCTCCTACTCAGAGTCCTCACTGTGTGTCTCGCTGGCCATCCTCCGCCGGGGCTTGGCCCCGGGGGAATTAACCTGGTGGGCCAAACTCCTGCAGACCCCGGCCCTGGCCACTCCTCTGGCTGCCGTTGTACAGGGCCTGTGCCCCGAGGACGCCCCTGCCCCACAGGCTACTACCAGTGGGCTGCCGGCAGAAGGTGAACTCTCAGAACCCATGGCCATGGCCCCGGGCTGGCCCCCGGCCCCCAAAGCCTTGCTCCTCATCAATGAAGATCCAGTTATTCCTCTCGGTCAGGCGTGTGTGGCTGGCCTCCCTGGAGGGTCTGGCCCCTGGGGCCCCATCTGTGTTGTCGTGCCCCTCGGGACGGCTGGCCTCATGGTCTGAGCTGGCACAGACTGAGCCCTGGTCCTCTGAGGTGGCCGGGGCTACATTGGCCAGCACGGCGTCAGTCTTTTGGTCTTCGTCCTCAGCCGCCTCTTGGACGGGCCATGTGTCCTGGGCCAGGCAGGTGCTCCCCTCTGCCAGCTCGCCTTACATTCACAGGAAGGAGCCATAACACATGCACTCAACCCCACCCCGTGGCCCTGCCCCAAGGTTCTGTGGGATTTGCCTCTGACCCCAGGATTCCTCCGGGGCCTTCAGTCACCATCAGAGCCTCTCACGTGAAAGCACCCAGCCATCTTCATCTCACTCTCCTTCCCCAGAGCACACCGGTCCCTCCCAAGGTGCCCCTTCCCTGAGGGCAGTGTCTCCCGGGACAGGGCCTCCTCCCAGAGCCCATCTTACTGAGGACCGAGATTCCTCCTTCAGCTGCAGGGCAGCAGGACCGAGTGTCGCCTCACCTGACATGCACGTCCATGGCCAAATTGTCGCTGGATTTCAGGTGGGTCAGCGAGTAGCCTTTGCTCTGCAGTGCCATGTAACCCTCGGGGCTCCACATGGGGGCGGGGTCAATGGCAGTCATCTTCCTCTCCAGCAGTGGGGGCACACAGCTCTGGTCCTGAGAGAGACAGCCGGTCCCACTGAGGGAATCCACGGGCATTATGGGCCTCATCAGTCCTGAAGGAAGTGATCAGCCAATTGTTCACCTCGTTCAGCAAGCCATGGGTCGCCCACAGGCCCAGAGGAGACAAGCTGCCCTGACCATCACGCAGATGCAGCACCCCACCGGCTTCACGTCATCTGATCACAGAACCTCTGCAGGCACACACACACAACCTGAAAGGCCTGTTCAAAGACCCTGGAGGTCCAATCTTAGTTCTCGATGAAGAGCCCCTATGTCGAAGGGTATAATAAACTGGCAAATGGAAACAGGACACAACCAGCTAGAGAGCTCATGGCTGGTGGCAGAAAGCTAAGGGGTCAGGCAGCTAGCAGCGGGAGATGCCCGAGGGTCTCTTGCACAGACACAGGAGCGATGAGCTACTGCTCCAGGGAGCCCACACACACCAAGGAGCCAGTGTCTGTCTGCTTCTGAACCCTGCAAGAAGATTCTGAAAGGAGTCTGGGCTTCAGCTCTGGTTGTTCCTGCCCCTGAGCTTACAGTGATACACCACATTCTGTCCAGGGAAGGGGAGAAGGGGACACACAGATGACACTCAACTCTTAACTGGCCCAAGGAGACAGGGATACGCTGACATCTCAGTCCAACCACATACAAACCAGCTGGGGAGATGGCACCCTGCCCCACCAGGGCCCCTCTGTCCACTTCTACCAGATGGGATGCTGTAGATGACATTAAAGGTCTCCCATCGGGCCGGAGTCTGTGTAGAAAAGAGGGTCTGCTTTTTCAGATACTTCACAAAGCTAATTACTGGCTGCCAATGTTTTTGTGCCCATTTTCAAAGCTGAGATGATCTGATCAGGAAAACGGTTCTGCATCAGGCCAGTGGTTATATACTTCCTTTCAGCTGTGGAGTGTTCTGTCCAAATGTGATCAATATATAACTCCGACACAAAGGTAGTGTGAGTCATGTGGTGGCGAGGACCCTCTCTGGAATCCTAAAGTTACACACCATTTACTAAGTATTGATTACCAGGTATGCAGAACTGTTCAGCACTACACAGACCTATTTTTGGCAATATAGCAGCTCATATCACCTGAAAAAAAACCTCCTGTCACAAAAGCGCTGTACAAAACCTATTACACATTTCACTTGCAGAGCTCTGCTCCCCCTAACCAGGAAACCCCCAGGGAGCTGAAACCACAGCCATGGGCAAGAGCCATGGGTCAGAGGCACAAGCAAGGGCTCCCTAGAGGGGAGCCAGGGACACATCTGTCAGATGTAGAAACCTACAGGTGTGCTCCTAAGCACTGCCCCTTCCCCCTCCCAACAAGAGATGGGGCTTCTCTGCACAGGCAGAGAGCTACAGCTGAGGTGCTGCTTACACAGAGACCCTCAAAGGGCTATGCGTTCACTTTCAAGACAGACCAGAAAAACCTCACGCTATTTAGGAAGGGGGGATGACGGAGCTAGTGTCCCAGCCAGGGCCAGAGCAGGGAAAACAGGCCCCTGTGAGGAATTCAGGGCCACATGCCAGCTTTCACTCAGGCTTGGGGGCAGCAGAGTGGAGTTCAGATTTACACCACTAGAATTCTCCAGAAACTTCCTGAGGAACAATAAAAGGTAGTTCTGAGCTGGCAGATGAAAACACAGAGCCACCCTGGAAGGGTGCACTCTCAAACCAAGCTATACAGAATCCCCAAGGTAAGACTAGCTCTGCTGGAAATGAACTTATGAGTCAAAACCCCCAGAACATCGGGGAGAATGTAATCCACCACAAGTCCACAGCAAGTTCATGGGATCATGCACTGTCCCCAGGAACTTCAGAAAACAGATCAAAATGTTAAACACCAGAGAATTACTGTTTACCTTATTAAAAGCATAAAAGAAGGAATTGAAAACTCACAAAAATACAAGACACAAGAAAAGAAATCTTTGAGGGGAAAAGTCTAGCAATAAAAATACAGACACTGAAATTAAAAACCCACTGGACAGTAAAAAAAAAAAATTAAAAACAGCAGATTAGACACAGTTGGAGAGAACATGGAATTAGAGAATAATTCTAAGCATGTTCCCAGAAGGCGCCACAGAAATCAGCTCTCCTATATTCAAGAGAGTTGGAGGCAAAGTGAGAAGTATCATGATGCAGACACTTGTGTAGCAGAATAAGTACAAATGATAAGTACAAATAATCTAAGTACATTACCTAAATACAAATTACCTAAGTACAAATAATCAAAGTAGATTACCTAGGAAGAAAGGATACAAAGAATGAAAAAAGGCAAATAGTCAACATGATAATTAGAAGAGAAACTCCCAGAAGTGATGAAAGCCATACAACCTTAGGTTTGAGCACCATGAATTTTAAGCAGAATAAAGTAAGGATAGACATAGATACATACCTAGACACAGCCTTTTGAGAAAGAACTCCAGGAGACCAAAGACAGAGAGATCTCAAAGCAACACAAACCAGACACCGGAGCCAGAAGAAAAGGAATACCATCTTCACATTCCTAAAAGAAAGTAACTGCAAACCTAGAGTTCTATACCAGCTACACTATCGTCCAAGAGAAAGGCTGTCACAGGTGAAAAACAGTGCTCAGTCGCTCAGTTGTGTCGAACTCTCTGTGGCCCCATGGACTGTAGTCATTCAGGCTCCTCTGTCTACGGGATCTCACAGGCAAGAACACTGGGGTGTGGTGCCATTTTCTCCTCCAGGGGATCTTCTAGACCCAGGTATGGAACCCATGTCTCCTGCACTGGCAGGCGAATTCTTTACCACTGGTGCCACCTGCGAAGCCCCACGTGAAGAATACTTATTGGCGAAAAATCTTTCCTAGAGGCCTTGACAGAATGTACCTTCTGAAAAAAATAAATGGAACCCAGATGGAAGGATAAGCAGCAAAGGAGCTAGTCAGCATACAGGCAGATCTGAACAAGCATAGACTGAATAAAACAACAAAGATAATAATTTGGTAGGAATCAAAACAAGGGGAGAATTAAAATTCCAGGCAAAAAGTACAAGACTCGTGAATTAGAGCTCAGGTTCAGGGTAAACTGATTAGCCTTTGTTAAGTCAAGGCTGCATGTTAGAATTTAACCTAACCACTCACAGTAGAAACAGAATGTAGAAGGAAAAGAAACAAAAAGAATCAGAAAACTTGACACTCTCTCCCCCAATCTAATGGGAACAACTTTGGCAACTGAAGTCACAAATTCTCAACGTGGGTAAAACCGGACACATCTTAAACATACAAAGATATTCCCCTCCAGAAAGGGCTCAAGCTGACCATAAAAAGTTGGGGGGAAAAGATAACACACGGACACTAATCCAAAGAAAACTGGAATGAAATTATGATCAGATAAAGTAGACATTAAAGGTAGAAACCCCAAGTAACAAATGTGCTATACAAAGATACAAGAAACAAGATGCAGTCATCCCAAGTCCATATGCTTCCAGGTAGGTAAAACAAAAACTGACAGGTTTATAAGATTTGACAAATCCGCAATCATAGTCTTAAATGTTCACACACCTCTTAGTAACTCATCAAGGGGATGAAAAACTGTGATGATATTTGTACAGCACAGTCAGCAAGCACACTTTAATGGACCATGTCCATTAGGAGAATACATTCTTTTCAAGCCCCTGAGTGAAGCGTGATCTGCCACTTGTTAAAAATAAAGTTTACTGGGAAGCAACCACACCCATTCACTTACTATTGTCTATACCTGTTTTTGTTCTACAACAAAAAAACTGGAGTAGCAGTTTGAAGACTAAATTATTTATTATCTGATATTAACAGAAGAAAATCGTGACTGCTGGTGTGTATCATACAGACCATGACATATGACCGAAAGGCAGCCACAGTAGAAATTAGCATCATAACGGTGATACTAAAACTCTGTATTTGGAAATTTAACAATGTACAATTAAAAATCACTCAAAATAAGACTAATATTTAGAACTGAACAATAATAAAAACGTTTTAAAACTCAGTGGCTCATAGACTCAGATGAGACTTAAATACATCAGAAAACTGAGAAACTAGTGACTTATTTAGGTATCCAACATAATTATAAAAAGAGCAAAATAATTTCAGTGGAAAAAATGGGGGGAGGCAGAAATTAATGAAATAAAAAACAAATAAAAGACAGGAATTAAGAACCTCAAAGGATACATTTTTTAAAATGACATTAAAAAATGGCATTTGACAAACCTTGGGAAAGACTAATCAAGGAAAAGAGAGAACACAGAGTACACGAAAGAACAGAAAGAGGGACGAAACCACATGGCAGAGATATGAAAATTAATTAAGACCATTTATGATTCATAATCTTAAAGTCTCTTCCTAACAATTCTTTGTGAGTGTTACTATTATACCCTCATTTTGCAAACAAGGAAGTTAAAACTCAGACTGGACGTGTGGCTTGCAAAGAGGTCAGACTGGAATCCAGGTGGGGTCTGCCTACCTCCCAAGGCAACGCCCTTGACCACACCACATACCCTGGCCTTTCACTGCACCTTGGTGCTTACCCGAGGGATGCAGGGCCTAGGGGTAGAAATCCACTGGGGTCTGAGCAGGCGAGTTCCGTGGGTCCATGTAGGAAGGCACCATCATCACCTGGGGTTGAAGCCCAGCGTCTGGGGGTAGTGTGGGCAGAAGGTGTCATGCAGATAGATGATGGTGGGTATGCCAGCTGCCAGTCCTGCATCCTGTACAGCTGCTCCTGGCAGAGACAGAGACCTGGCTGCACAGGTGCTGTGGATCAGACAGGCTGTGTGTGCACGCACACACAGTCTTCAAGGGAAAACCCACCCAGACAGAAGACCAGAGAGGGGAGGCCCCAGGGTATGCATGACCACGTTCAGGCCCGGGCCCTCTCCCAGGATGGATGCATGGTCATGCCGTTGTCACACGGGACCCTTGGGCTCCCCTAGTACACATGGCAGCTTGGGTGCTCACTCAGGTCAAAGACTATCCCGGAGCGGACACGTGAGGAGCACACCGCCCAGGGCA